TATCATGTATATATTTATATATGTTAATTCTATCATGTATATATTTATATATGTTGATTGTATAAAAACAAAATCATAACATGTTTACGTAATTTAATGAAATAGTTAAACTTTTTTCTTTATATCTACGCTATGACTCATTACATCAAATATTTATTGTTATTTTCATAGAGATAAAAGTTCACACTTTACAATTGTTGTAGGGACTTCGATTTTAATACAACTTAAAAATGCATGATATTTTAAACATAAAGTTTAATCTTCATTGTCTTTTAGTGTGCTGTTTCAAAAATTACAATATGCACAGTACAGGGTTTGCACATTCAAAACAAATTCTGTCATAGAATATCAATAATGCGTGTTAAATATGTTGTGTCAAACTGTGTAATGTATACATTAAGCAGAACACGAAATTCCAAAATTATCACAGGCTGGTATGGCCGTTATGTAGCAATGAAATCGGGTTGCGATTCATGCACTAATCTTAAGGATTTACTAATTCCGATCATCTCCCTTGCCTTAAAAAATGTGACACTATTATTTATTTGTATGGCAGGTAATGGTTATCTTACGAAAATTAAAATTTCACAACGACAATCCAAACATGTACCTTCAGAAGAAAAAAAAATCCTTTGGTTACTGAGATCTTCTATTTAGTGCATGTAATTTTTATCAACCAGTCTGCTGAACAGAAGCTATTTTTAGCTCGACTTTTTTTTTTTTGAAAAAAAAGTAGAGGTATTGTTATAGTCGGGTCGGCGTTGCCGTTGCCGTTGCCGTCCGCAAACTTGTACCTGGATAACGCCGTTGCCGTTGCCGTTGCCGTCCGCAAACTTGTACCTGGATCATAACTTTTTTATTTCTTGGTGTATTGTCTTCATACTTGGCCACAACAACCCTTTGGACAAGACCTTTCAGTAGACCACACTAACCTTGACCTTCATTCATAAATGACATTGACCTTCAAGGTTAGTCCAATTTTTGCTTGTTCATGCTGTTATTGGCTGTAACTTTGTTATTTTTGAATGGATTGTCTTCAAACTTAACATAATAATCATCAAGGATATCCCTTAAAAATAATCCGCCAGACCTTGACCTTCACTCATAAATGACCTTGACTTTGAAGGTCAAATTATTGAAATTTTCATTTTTTTGGCTATTATTGGCTGTAACTTTGTTATTTTTGAATGGATTGTCTTCAAACTTGAACATAATTATCTTCAGGGATATCCCTTAAAAATAACTAGACAGACCTTGACCTTCACTCATAAATGACCTTGACTTTGAAGGTCAAATTATTGAAATTTTCATTTTTTTGGCTATTATTGGCTGTAACTTTGTTATTTTTGAATGGATTGTCTTGAAACTTGAACATAATAATCTTCAAAGATAACTGTTAAAAATATACCGAAAGACCTTGACCTTCACTCATTAATGACATTGTCTTTGAAGGTCAAATTATTGTTTTGGCGGTAACTGACTGTAACTTTGCTATTATTGAAGGGATCAACTTCATATTATAACAGAACATTCTTAAGGACCAGACCTTGTTGTTTATCAAACACAAATTTGCTTGGGCTCTTTGATGACCTTGACCTTGAAGGTTAAATTACTGAATTTTCTCAGATTTGTGCATTAAATGACCATAATTATATATTTATTGGTGTGTGTGTATATATATATATTTACAACAACAACAACAAGAATTGCGTAATGTTTCTATTTATAGAATTGCGTCATTGTTTCTATTTATAGAAATTGCGTCATTGTTTCTATTTTTAGAAATTCGAAATTGCATCATTGTTGCTATTTTTAGAAATTGCGTCATTGTTTCTATTTTTAGAAATTGCGTCATTGTTGCTATTTTTAGAAATTGCGTCATTGTTGCTATTTTTAGAAATTGGTCATTGTTTCTATTTTTAGAAATTGCGTCATTGTTTCTATTTATAGAAATTGCGTCATTGTTTCTATTTATAGAAATTGCGTCATTGTTGCTATTTTTAAAAATTGCGTCATTGTTGCTAGTTTTAGAAATTGTGTCATTGTTTCTATTTTTAGAAATTGCGTCAATGTTGCTATTTTTAGAAATTGCGTCATTGTTTCTATTTTTAGAAATTGCGTCATGTTGCTATTTTTAGAAATTGCGTTATGTTGCTATTTTTAGAAATTGCGTAATGTTTCTATTCATATATATATACAAAATATATTAACAAAACTAATGTGACAAGACAGACCAACTAAATTTATAAAAAGGAAACGTTAAGATATGTTCAAACCTTTCTATGTTTGCGTTTAGAAAAAGTAAAAAGTCGAGCGTTGCCCCCGCCCGGCGGTGGCTCTTGTTTGCTTTGAAATTATAGTTCTTATCGTGCGAAACAAAAATACAGATACTCATAGATTTAAGAAATAGTGTAATCAGTGTATTCTCAACTTGAAAAGTTTTTAGTTGATAATGGTTTATTGTATGAATTACAGTCAGGTTTTAGAAATTCCTATTCCACTGACACTTGTCTTATCCATCTTATGGATCAATCATATCAGAAACAATAATTCCAAAGGTTTATACACAGGCATGATAATGTTAGATCTACAAAAAGCATTTGATACTGTTGACCATGATATTTTATGTGGAAAACTGAAATTGATGGGTATCTCTAATACTGACTGGTTTATGTCTTATCTTAAAGGTAGAAAACAAACTGTTAGTGTTGATAATATTTTATCAGATTATATGCCTGTTACATGTGGGGTTCCCCAGGGCAGCATCCTGGATCCTCTTTTATTTTTGTGCTATGTGAATGACATGAGAATTAGTATAGATCAAGAATGTAAACTTATTCTGTATGCCGATGACAGTGCAATTCTTTTTGCCCACAAAAATCCAAGTATTATTTCTCAAAAACTTGGACAAACACTAGAGTCTTGTTCATCTTGGCTTGTAGATAACAAATTGTCACTTCATCTAGGAAAGACTGAATGTCTTATTTTTGGTTCCAAACGTAAACTAAAACAAGTTAAAGAGTTTAAAATTGTTTGTAATGGACATACTATTGAATCCACAAAATCTGTCAAATATCTAGGTTTAAATATTGATGATTCTTTGTCAGGTGAATCTATTGTTAATAGTATTCTTACAAAGGTGAATTCACGTCTTAAGTTTTTGTATAGGCAAGCAAATGTTTTAGATTTTAGGACTAAAAATATTTATGCTCAGCATTAATACAATGTCACCTCGATTATGCATGTTCTTCTTGGTGCCCGAGTCTGAACAATTGTTTTTTAAAAAAAAGCTTCAAATTTGTCAAAATGAAATTGTTAGATTTATACACGGTATGTCACCTAGAGATAGTGTCAATAATGTTATTCTTGCTAATATGTCCTTACTAAATGTAGAAAACAGAAATAAGCAATTACGTCTTAATCATGTTTTTAAAATTGTTAATAACCAGTGCCCTTCATATATGAAAGAAAATTTTATACCTGTTAGAGACATTCATTTTTATTCAACTCGGGCGAATCAGTACAATTTTAGGGTCCCAAGAAGTTATGGGAAAGATAATGTAACTTTTTTTTCAAAAAGGAATTAATGATTGGAATTCCTTGCCTACATGCATCAAAAAAATTAGTAAGATAGGAGATTTCAAAAGCTCAGTGAAGGCCCATTTACTAGAACAGTTAGAAAATCATAATTAAATTCACCAGTATGACTAGATATTGATCTCATTTTTATTGTTTTCCTTTTAGCAAAGTTAATGGAAATAATAAAGTTTGATATTTTACGTAAATGACATCTTCCAGTTTCCAAAGTTTTGTATTTTTCAATGTTTTTGTTTGTTATATTGTATATTATAGTAAGTATATATCCAAGGACCCCATTGGAAATAAGCCTTCGGGCTTTCATGGGCAATCCGAGGTTATTGCACACTACTCTATACATGCTTCCAATTTAGTCGTCACATTTTATTAAACTAGTAAATTGATATCTTGTCATAGGAAAGAAAGAGTTTTAGATTTTGTTTTTAGTTATTATATTTTATTATTTAATGAGCCGTCTGTGATATTTATGTTTTACAAGCTTCCGAAATATTTTATTACACTTGTGTCATCAGTTTTATATAAAATGCTTAAGTGTTTGTATTATGTATACATGTATGTGTGTTTTAACCTGAATAAATATCTATCTATTTATCTAGTGTATATTAGTATAATTCTCCCTAAAATGTTGGTCGAGGTCGAGGAAAATAAGTGCTAGGTCATGATCTGTTTTACATACGAGTGGTGTATAACATATGTATAAACATGACATCTTACAAAAATATATCAACATAAACAAAGGCAGACAGACATAATATTCTACGACCATCATACGGTCAGACCAATAGATGAAAAATCTTGTTATGAATGTTTTTTTACATGTGTATTAAACAAACGAGCGTAAAGGACCGCCTACTAAAACACATTTACACAATTCGATTTTTGTATTGCTCAGCTGACATAGAAATATATGAAATATATATTTTTTTCAAGTGTACAAATAAAGACATTTTACCTGGTGAACTTATCATATATTAAATTCTGACAAATAATAACCAAGGTTAAATCACATCATATTCACCTGCTAAAAAGTCTATAACTGTTTTGTAAAAAAAAAAGTATTAATAGCTTAATCTGGATTTCTGTCACGAAAACCAAAATTTTATGTTTAAAAAATCAATGATAACATTTCTTGTGTTTGCTTTATTTTCCATAATACTTCATCTGCCAGAGTAAATATTCAAAAGAATTTTCCGAAGTTGCTTTCGTCGTATTCCACAACTGTATTTTAAGAATAGAAAATACTGAATACATGCTCTGATAAGGACCTACTTTTACAACTATTGGAGAGAGGTATTTCAAAGCTTTTTACGATTCTGATGAGAATCAATGATTGAAATAATAAAAATCTGATTAATTTATAGAATAATTTTGTGACTGACAATAGAAATAATTTCTATTTTTCAGAATAAACCAAAGATGAAAACAACAGTGTCAATAATCTTAACAGTCTTGTTCTACAAACACGGTAAGAAAACATTTTCTGTTGTACATTTCGTGCAAATTTTACAACAATACTTCAAATATGGGGGCGTAATTAAAATTTATAGGCGTGAAAAAGTCATGTTAATTTTTGTTTGTTTTTGGGTTTTAGTTGTATTTCATTTTTTAAATTATTTGTCTATACAGTATTAACTGTGTGATCGATGAGAAGTGGCGTAGGCATCCAAGATGGCGAAAATAAAGACATGGCAAAGTATGAAACCGTTTTATATGTATTTTGTCCCTTTTCTAGAATATATATGTTTGCAACTGGTTGTTATTGAAGGCAAAATGGAAACTTCACATGCACACTTCTGCTTTGCTAACATTTTATACTTGAAGAGAAAACTTGTTTTAAATAAATCGCAAAGAGTACAATAATTTTTATCGAGAATCGGTTTTTTGTTTTGTCTGTTTTGGTTATATCGAACGATTTCATCTATTGGAAGTGTTTTTTTTATAGTTTAAATACTGATTTAATTATAAGAGATTAATAAGTTTATTATCGTGGTGAATTCTGTTAAAAAATAAGTACTTGTTGTGCAAAAATGTTGTACAATTTGCAACTGTTCACTTATTATGGGGGATATGTGTAAATGGTCAGATAGCTCAGTCAGTAGAGACGCGGTACGGTATTCAGATGGTCCCGAGTTCGAGTTTCGGTCGGGCTGAACATTTTTCTCACCTTGTGACATACAGACTAATACTATAATATGTTTACCTATTAGGGGTCAGCATCGTATCTCTTCTAAACGAGAAGTACTTTAATTTGTCGTATATATTTTAGCAAGATTATGACATTTTCCATCCCATAAGATTAGAATAGCATTTATTTTATCTACAAATGATGCGTTTTAAATGAAGTTGTTTGCAAGAAGCCAAAAAGTAGTTTTTGAAGTATCTGAATAGAAAATTCACCGGCCTGTCTAGAAATATTTTAAAACTAGTTTTCTCTTTATCTATTGAAAATTTAAGAAAAAAGCAATCGTTCTCATTTAAAGATATTTTTATTTTGCCTACAACAACAACCGGTCGCAGCCACCTGTCTTCTACGACAGGAACAAAATATGTTGAAAACGGTTATATATTTTGCTATGGTTGTCTGGATCCGCCACTTTGTTTTCCCCATATTACAAAAAGACAATGCCACAAAACGATCAAGACATTCGTATTTTAAGATATGTGTCTGTAAGGTGCTTGGTGGATATTCTATCATGTGATCTTATCTATTATGTAAAAAGGTTCATCAAGTTCATCCTACATGGTTACAATATGCAAAGAAGCAATTATCCAACAAACTTGAATTGAGTTTAATTTTTTTCCTGTTATACGTTATATGCTATATATGTTATTTTTTCACAAATTTCTTTACAGTATATAGTTATTTAAGAGTATGTTACTACACAAACTGGTCACAATACAGACCTAACGGAGGAAAATTTACACCTGATAACATAGATCCTAAGTTGTGCTCACATATAATATATGCGTTTGGTAAACTGGAGGGTAACAGACTGGTACCATTTGAATGGAATGATGACTCCACGGAATGGAGTGTCGGAATGTAAGTTTGTTTTTTCGTTCGTAAATAAGTGTTTATACATTTGAAACGTAAAAAACTTAAGAGTGAAAAATAAGAGCAGAATTGAATTACCTGCACATATAAGTGTTCAGGTTATTGTACAAGTATAAAATCATTGTATTCTTATTTATTCATAGTTTTCTATGATCCACTATTAAAAAAAATAGACATACATGTACTATAATCTCCTACTTAAGTGTTTCGTGTTCATTCATACGTGTTTTAAATGAAATAACATGGCTTTTGGCATTTATATAATTAAAAAGCTGCATTTTTATGCAATAATGAATATCTGTACAATAATATATATTTTCAAAGTAGATATAAAGATGAGACATTGAAAGTATTGTTTGGTCTTCAAGTAAAAGCGTTGTGAAAGAGTTAAAACCTTACAGAATACTGTATTGTATCAAATCTGATTGATCACGAAAATGCCAAGAAACTGTTCTGAAATATGTTAAAAATGTTATAAGCAATAATTCTTGAGACGCCCTTGTCCCTTCAGTATCAATAAACTCCTCAACTGTTCAGTAAATGGCAGCTTCTATTTTTCGGATTCCTTTGATTAACAAGCTCTATGTAATTATGTATTGTTAAGATAAACTTTAAGAAATATAAACGCAATTTTTTTAATTCTATGATGTATATATAACCTTTTTGTGCTTGTCAACACCTGTGTTTAATATGTTTTAAACTCTGATGCTGCTGGAACATGTTTTGATAAAACGAATATAAAGAAAAAACAATCAAGGTGTTCAAAAGCTGAAATAAAAACTTACAATGTCCGTACTCGTATATTATTTATATCCATTTCTTATGCAAATTACTGGTTTATAACAAGGAACAAAAGCTTAAAAATGCACATTGCTTCATTTATTTCAAACACAATGAAATAAATTAATATTTTTAAGATTTATTACGTACATACAATCCTGTTACTGTAGTATCTAGAGCTTACATTTGTCTATACAATACAATACAATACAATACAATACAACATCGTTTATTTCGTCAACGTTACATTTGTAGCAACAGACATTACAATAATCAAGTAAATAAGTACATATGTGGGTATCAAATAGAAAACAGTTACATGTTCTTGTAAATCTGATTTAATACTCTGATTATTGTTGCAATACAAGAACAGCTATAAATAAGACTAATAAAAGTGTGTTTGTTTTAGGTATGATAAGGTAAATAACCTTAAAGTAGGAAATCCAGAATTAAAAACATTATTAGCAACAGGTGGTTGGAATGCCGGAAGTGTTCCATTCAGTGATATGGTGTCGACTAAGGCCAATAGAAAGCAGTTCATCAATTCCACTCTACACTTTCTTAGAAAAAGAAATTTTGATGGTCTAGACATGGACTGGGAGTATCCAGCGAGGCGGGGCGGAAAACCTTCAGACAAGGAAAATCTTGTCCTTTTACTAAGCGTAAGAAATACATGTAGATGTATATTAAATACAATCAGTTAAACATTTGTAATCAATCTCATGCTATGCATTTAATTTAGCTCAATAATGTGTCAGGACATACTATATGCTACTTTTGTCTACTTCCAATGGCATTTGGAAACATGACTAGACTGTTTTCATTACTTTTTACATTTGTACATGTGTACATGCACGAACAGTACAAGTAATCCCTAGGTCCTTGACCTGTCTAATTCTAATTATCAGATTAATGGATACAATAAGAATTTCACCACAACAAGAGCATGTGTAAATGTTTGTGATTTAATTTATTGTTATTCGAAAAAAGGTCAGAATAGGGATCTATCAATTTTACCGGTCTGGGTTCTGTAACCGATCATGATGTAAGTTATTTTACTTCATATAAAACTCAGAATTAGTTTCTAGTTTGTAAATGTTTTCAGGAATTAAGACAAGCATTTGAACAAGAGTCGTACCATACCGGACGTCCACAACTCCTACTTACAGCAGCTGTACCGGCTGGCAAATCTAACATAGATGCTGGATATGATATACCTAATGTCGCCAAGTAAGAATTGCAATAATTTCCACATCAATAATGAATATGGCATCTCACGTGATCATATTTGTGGTTACATAAAACATGTTTCATGACAGAAAAGGTGTTAAAACTGGATCTGATAATAAATTATAGTTTCTTTGTGTATCATGAAAATACTCGAATTCCACAAAAACATAAAAAGTAGAAATAGGGTGATAAATACAGTAAAATCAGTCATTAATTGCAAAGCATGAACATTTTACTTCAATCTTTTTAAGTTTTCTTAAAATCTTAGTAACGTTTTCACAAGTTTGATTTTTCTGACGTAGTTTTTGCTCATCTAGAGGCATACAGCTTTATCACTTTGGGCGTGTAATATACGTTGGTTGGTATAAATCATTGACAAGCAATTCAGAAATATGATAATATATGTTGTCTATCTATCATAACTTATTGCAGCAGGTAAGGTAGCCCAAAATGATATATATCCCTTAGAATAAGCTATACAATTCTGGTCTTGATGTAACACTTTTCGTGTCTGTTTAGCATTGCTCTGATATAATATCTAATTAAACAGAAAGGTAGTACGAAAGAAAGGAAGTTTAATTAAGAAAAAAGAGACAACATTTATCAAATTATTTCTTTGTAATGAAGTTTTTATATTAATAAACTTTTGCTCATCAGAAGGCTCAAGGCGATATTATAATGTATTTGACAGATCGTGAATACAATGTTTGTCCTAAGTTTATTACTTGCCAATAAATAAGATATGCAATGATTGTCTGATCATAAGATGATCATTATTAACTTACCCACGTGACATTTATATATGAAACGAGCAGTGCTTCTCTAGAAATGTATCTGGGTCATATATGTGTTATATTTATATCTTTAAGGGTTAACTTATTCTTTATAATTACGCGATTGAGAATAAATATATGATTAATATTTAAAAACTTTATTGCAAATACATAGGCAATTTTAAAGTTATTGCTGATAAGAATATACAATATTTTTATCTAATAGACTTTGTATAATGTAAAAATTGTCGATGCGAAGTTTATGTTTTTATAATTTATATTCATAACATTCAATTAATTCTGCAGTCGATGCATACACCTAAAATACGTTATTTTATTCTGATGTCATTTTGCTATGATGTTGATTTTAGGAGCCTCGATTTTATAAACATAATGACGTATGATCTACATGGGTCATGGGAGGCTACGACAGGACACAATAGCCCGCTGTTTGGAAGAACATCTGAAAGTTCCGCCGATGCAATTCTTAATATGGTAAAACATGTTATATTCCGAAAAGAAATTTCAAATGCAGTTTTTAATCACTGTTAAAATATCACAATTTATCCATGACGGGGACGTGTTTTATCATATAGAAATTCTGTGTTTGTCCAACGTAAACAGTCATGTAGAAGACATACAGTCATTCACTTTTTCAATGACGCAATTGCTCTATGGGTGGTTACAGTACTCATACACTAATGCTGCATTTTCACTTTTAGACGTAAATGTGCCATTATCGTGCCATTATCGTTGTTTGCCTCGTACAAAGTCTCTTAGTACATTAAAACAAAGATGTGTTATGTTTGGTATGTGGTCATTGAGTGTGTGGTTCATCTATTTTTTCAAGACCGCATGTTAAGGTCACTTTTGACTATCTTAGAAATATTACCAACGATAATTTAACATTGAACTATGTAGTAAATGATTTCATGGAAACATAACTGTGGTGAATAAAAAGGATATTAAGTTCAGTATTATCTCCCTTTAAGTGTTTCTAACTTGCAACATTTCAGGAGTGGGCACTGAAATACTGGACACAGAGTGGCGCACCAAAACATAAACTAATTGTTGGTATTGGATTATATGGTAGAAGTTTTAAATTACAATCACCGATGAACAATGGGATTGGTGCCCCCGCAGTTGGAGCTGGTGCGGCGGGAAAGTACACCAGGGAACCAGGATTTATGGCATATTATGAAGTAATACTTAACATCAACTAAACCAAATATATATCATTGTCTCTTTAAGTTAAACTAAACCTTACCATATTTCTATATCACAAAATGATCCAGGTCGAGATGACACCATCAGATCAGTTAATATAAATTATGAACACCAAAATATTTTATGTTTAACTAATTGGCTCTGGACATGTTATATTTCTTTACTCAATACGTCAATAGACAAAATGTATATAAACAATTTTATAGTCAGTTTAAAGTTTATATTTTGATAACTAGATCTAATTATTTGTTTCAATTTTAATTTAAAAATAATTTTGAACATTTCTCAAAATTTCAAGATATTCTAGAAATATTGAAAATATGTTTAGGAAATGAATCGATTTTTATCGGCTTAAAATTAAAGCCCATTAACAACTTACACATTGCCTTGTTTTATTTTGGTGTCTTACAATCTGGACAAACACTTGGGATTTACTTATGAGAAAGACGACGGGCATAAACTATGTTAAGGTTGAAATTAATTAAAATGGATCGATTGTGTAAAATGAAGTTGGAATAAATGTTCATATCTTACCATGTATTTCAAATGGGACAGCCTAACAGTTATTTCCTATTTGACAAAAGGTATGCGATGAACTGTCAAAAGGAGCTACACGAGTATGGCAAGCAGAGCATAGAGCACCATATATGCACAGAGGAGACTTGTGGGTTGGTTATGACGATGAAGAAAGTGTTATTGCCAAGGTAATAAATAATATAATTGAGCCGCGTCATGACAAAACCAACATAATGGGTTTGCGACCAGCATGGATCTAGACCAGCCTGCGCATCCGCGCAGTCTGATCAGGATCCATGCTGTTCGCTATCAGTTTCTCTACGTGTTATAGGGTTTGTAAGCGAACAGCATGGATCCTGATCAGACTGCGCGGATGCGCAGGCTGGTCTGGATCCATGCTGGTCGCAAACGCATTACGCTGGTTTTGTCATGACGCGGCTCATATAATGTTTTAAATCATGGTAAAGTTGCATATTCATTTATTTGTTTACTTTGCTCGTTTTTCATGCATAATTCATGACGTGTCTAATGAAATTTGTTTTATGTTACAGGTACGATGGATGAAACAAAATAAGTACGGTGGAATAATGATTTGGTCACTTGCACTTGACGATTTTTCTGGACAATATTGCAAAAAAGGACCATATCCCCTTCTTAATGCAATTAACTCTGAACTTGGTTCGATGTCTATATCTATGAATGTTCAAAGTCAAAATCCATTAGATTTAGCGGCAAATCAGTTGCCAGTAGATATGTTATTGTCGCCGCCAGTGCCTGATATCCCACGACCTCCTCCAATTTTCCAATCCAATTCAGGAACCAGCGCTGCTGCACAAGCTATCGGAGATTTATTGCTGCAAGGAACAACAAAGCTATCTCCTCCAAAGTCTCATTCTGTTCCACAAAATGCCGGATTACTGCAAGAAAATGCTTTACCGACTATTATAAGTGATCCCAGTAATAGAGCTGTTGTGCATTCTAACCCTGTTGTTCACGACATAGCAACAGCCGTTCCGCAGTCCAGTAATTTTGCAACTTTGAATACACCTCTACAAATACCGAATTCCAATGTACCAAATTTGTTTCCTGGGCCAAATATGCAAGAATCAATCCAAAATGTTCTATCTACTGGGAATTCGTTTTCAAGAAACAACGGACCTCCGCCATCGGTTTTTCCTAACGAAATGGCAGGGTCAGCGTTAGCCAACTTCACTAGTGCAAACACTCATGGCACATTTCCGTTAGAATTTATGCATAACAGCGGGCACACTATGGGTAGAGAATTGCAAAGTTCGACAAATCATATTCAAGGACAACAGTCACCACATTCTACACATGTACATCCGAGTTCTTCCGTGCCTCATTTACCACCAGACCTTCCACCAGTGGCAATGGTGCCACCATCGACAGGCGACATTTTCAACGTACCTACGTCAAATGCAGCACCAGTGGCACCTGTTATATCAGACACATCGATACATGTACCCATGGGTTCCCATGATCATGTCATCCACCAAATCCCTATTGGTGGTCTACCTAACTTAGTGGGGTCGCCTAGTACTGTGAGTGAACATTCAGTGAGTAATCAGAATGTGCCAGTTGTAGTTGGAGCATTACCAGTGGTGGAGCCAGCGGTTGCAGGAATTGCAGTGGAATCAATGCCCTCTGTAGAAGCTTTGGGAGTGTCTCCGGCTGTTGATTTTTCCCCTCCAATTGCTGCAGCAGCACATTCTGATATAGGTCTTGCAGCAGTACGCCCAGCACCTCCATCAAGACCAAACGTCAATTTTTCGTTTTCGTCCAGCTCAAGTAGTAATAGCAGTTCATCATCGTCATCTTCGTCCTCCTCTTCCTCTTCAAATTCAACTGAAAGACGTATTGACATTTCTGACCCCATTCGGTCCGCACTGCCCCCTTCGGTCCAGGAACTTCTTAGTCACGGTCCTATTGACATTCATCCAATGCCGGCTTCTGGTCATTCACATGCAGTAGGCGATCAAGCACATGGTATAGTGCCTGGGGGTACAGTGAAAGCAGTTATTCCTATTGATAATATCAACAGTTTAACTCAGGTTTTGAATAATCTACAGACTAATGTTCCAACTTCAGGTACAGTTTTAATTCCTGAACCAGGAAACCAACTCCGACCAGAAACCGTTCTTAGAGAACTTGATATTGGGAATATTCTTGGATCTAATATAGCAACTCCGGTTCAAATAAATAGAACACCTCCGCAACAAGGTACTAGACGAGGATCAAGATTGTCTTCTGGTAATAATCGCGCAATATCTACACGAACTTCTAATCAAGGAAACAATGGTCAACAGTCTAACAGAGGTAATAATATTCAAAACATGCGGAGAGTAATGACTATCCCTCCCATAAACAACAATCGTCGTGTAAATGTACGAAGGCCTCAAACCAGACAAGTACAGCCTTCAATTGGACGTGTATTCCCCGTTTCACTTACACAGCTGCGTCGACTAATTAATGCTTTAGGAAGAGATACAGTTCGAAGTATGTTACACAGTGGACGTATAGTGTATCAACCAAATGTTCAAAGAAGACAAATTGTAAACACACCAGTTGTTCGAACGCGTACACCAAGATTAAGAAATACTGTGATTAGACAAAGACAACCAACTAGAACAATGCCAAATAGAAATATATTATCAGCTCGTTCTTTACAACCAAGTAGAATAAGCAGACGCGTTTTTGTAAATAATAATTTGGAAAGACGTCCTTCACTCGGTGCGCAGTCCAGAAGTAGCAATTCAAATTTGGATATATTATCATTGCTAGGATTATAACTAATTCAATTGTATAGATTCCTTAATGAGCTAGATTTAATTAAATTGCAACAAGCAAATAAATGAACAACCAATACATATAATTCTCAAGGTGAAATTATTGTCAATTTTAGCAAAGTATTGTCCTGTGTTAGTGTATACCCCGGTATTGCTGTATTCTATAAGATAATGTTATAATTGCATTTACCAGGAGGAAGAACCCACCTAACAAAAGTGTTTGTGAGTAAATATTGCAAGAATTATGCATACATTAGTATGAACAATACTTCGCTTCTTTCAAGATATTACAAAGGAACAGTGTTGGGTTTCATAGCATGACATTTCTTATTTATTTAACTTTATAAAAGCACACTTTGCTAGTTGATATATATTATCAATATTTATACCTCTCATAATATGAAATTTAAAACCTGTAGTGAAATTATTGTGTTGCAACGTGTATAACGCCAAGAGAAAAGCTTACTACTGAAAAAGCCATTAATTCCTGCTGATATTTATGTTATGTTATATTAATATAACATGTATATAATAATCAAGTGATCCAGACACATACAGGATAGCGTACCATGAGCTGTTGATACATGCTTTAAAAGTCGACAACAGTACTAGCAACATCGTAAGATCTTACGAGTCTATACAACAAAACGATATAACAAGAACGTTAAGAAACAGATGATATTAAAATGCAGATTAATTCAAGGATGTGTGCATAACTTTGTTGTAGTTTCGGGTAAATTTCTTAAGTTATTTCTTGACGACCATGGTTATTTGTTTATTGTACCTAGATAAAATGAATGACGTTGTATAAAAGACTATGATGAGACTGGTAGAGATAAAATCTGTATAACAGTACTATAGTGTAAGACATATTGACAATTTGAAGAGAATAGGGTAAACGATGTCATTTGTTTTAAGGTGTATATATGTAATATATTTAAGTTTTGACATTGTCAAAATAAATAGATGTTTACTGACTTTGCATCACGACGTTTTAAAACACATAAAAATATCATTTCTAATTTAACGTACACTATGCATGTATAGTAGAAGTATAATTATCGAGTTATACAGGCAGACTCTTTCAAATAGCTGTTGGTGGAATTTCAAAACTACGAGTACATGATAAAGAGTTATTCGTGAAATTTATTTTATCTAAAGCTTTTAATGATTGCTATAATAAACATGTGATAATATGTGTATTTGTTTGAAAAGATTAAATATTTATATATGATCTAGTTTATAATGTATTTATTTCGCACATAGTATTTTTACAAGATTTCTTAGTCTGACTAGAATGATTAAAGATTAAAAGAATTGCATTTAATCAAAAACTATTAAAATATCTTATTTAGCAGCGAACTAGCGATTTTATATTATCATATACATTCTGTTGTGTATTATTATATTAATGTAACCAGTTATTTCTATTTTTGAATCAAACTAAAAAAAATTGAACCAAGAGTAAAAATAACTCAAATATTCTTACTTTGCAAGTTGTGCGATGCATTTCTTGTACTCTTATAGCAAATGATGATATACATGTACATACGATAAGCTATGTTGCATTTAGAAATCATAGCAAAAACTCATTTATACAGTTATGATCTGTGACATCTGATGCAGTCTTAAATACGATTTTTGACAATGTGAAATTACGATATCCTGCTTCTGAATAGTGTTGTAGATCTGTCAACCACACGTTTCACTGATTAGGTTGGTTAAGTAATCTTTTGGTTCATTCTTTAATCGCCCGATTCATATATATCCCCATTTAATAACTTCCGATGAAAACGGATGTTTACTTCAAAAGATATGCTCTAAGGTACAAACAGCGTAATGTTTTGGCTGTCAAAGTCACTGGTGATTACTTTTCGCACTGAACCTCGGACAACTAGGCTGATTGAGGAAAAATGGCGGCCATTTTATTCTCTAGAGCATAACCCCTGTGACCAGATTTTTACTGTTAAAAGTACTTTTATATGTAACAGTACAAAGTACTTAGTCACGTGTTACATTATCATTAACAGTAAGAATAACCCCTATAACAAAATTTACATGTGACAGGTAATAATATAATCTAATTAACCACTTTTTTAATAATAAAAGTTCTTAACTAAAAACTTCATGTTCAGATTTTCAAAGGATGTAGTAAGCATCATTTCTTTTCTACGAAATAACCACTAGGCCAAAATTCTTAAAATGCCTATATTGAAGTAGCTCGATTTAAGTTTAATCATATTTTGTTGCTAATATATACGTGTAAATATACAGAAAAACAATTTGATTTCGAAATAACAAATAGCAAAAGAGTTGGGCCAAAGGTCTTACAACATTAGCGATCGGCCCTCTCCTTAAATCAAAGGGCTGCAACCTCTGTGGTATTTTCTGATCTTTGCAATCTAAATCATACTGACTATCTGTATGTGTTTTCCTATATAAGTTTTTTTATATACTATAATTAATCTTACGCAGCGACTGCGTCTATAACAGTTTGAAATTGATACATATGGAACTTTGCATGACTAGAGTTGCATCAAAAAATCATTTTCATTTTTTATGACAGCCATACTTTATCCTTGCATATCGTGGCAACTTCCTTAAAAAAGACACTTCCAAAAAAAAAGATTGCCTCGACTAGGATAAGAACCTTGGGCCTCACACCCTAAACGAGCGCGCTACCTCTGCACCACGGTGAAGTAATACATATGTAGCTTGAATAATAACAAATACATTGTAATTCTAAATTGAGAATTTCCATTCCGTGTTTGTAATCCTTACTAATTTCGAGGTATTTTCTTCACTATAAACCTGTTGTTTAACACTGATGAAAATAATATAGCGAAAATCTTCTCGCCAAAACAGTACGACATGTATATATTCCACTACTCGACAGTCAGATTTATTTGTGTTCTACGCTCTGGAGTATTCGGTAATCGACATAGCTAAAAATAGCATTTTCATTGATTAAGCTTTACGGAAATAGCCGAACATTTTCATTGGGTAAAAAAGATATTCATCCGCGAAATTTGTGATTGTAACCTCATATTTCTATTGACTACTCTAAACTTTTAATGCACTGTAATTCGTTAAATGCAATTATTCTTTATTTTAAATTGCTGGTTTTTAAGCAGTTCTGAGTGAGAACTACTTTGCGTTGTTAGGTCTGTTTGGAAAATTTGTGTTAGACCGTGGATGTTAGCTATGTATTTACTGATCTTGCGATCAGAAAATACAAAAAGTAAGTAGCAAGGGGTCATAATTCAAAGACTCCCGGATGGATTAACATTGCTCCAAAGATGTCAATAAATTGAACCAATCGATCTGGATGGATGGACGACGAAAACAAGTTAGCTTTCCTATTTTTTCAACACATAAGACAGAAGAAAGAAATTGCTGTAATAATCAGTTAACTTTCATATTACAGTTGCTATATATTTACCCGTACGCACGTAATATTTCAATACAATGTACATGTGTTTCTTGTTACAAATGTAAGGTAATTCAATATTTATTACAGTAATCCCTAGCCGTTTATTTTAATGTTGAGATATTATTTAACTTGAAAATACAATATACTAGTTTCTCCGTCCTCTTTAGCAGACAAACTCCCTTAACTACATTGAATTTTAAATTATGTACTACTCACATATTGTCAGAACGTTATGTCGCATGCGGATCACTTTTGCGTTCATCCCGTATCTTAATGATATTCTTTAAGTTTCTACGATAATTTGTGACTTGCTTGGATATTTTTATTTATAAAAAAAAGTGTATGTCAGTCCTGTGATCAGCAGACAATTTCAATGAAAAAAAAGGGGGGGGGGGTGATCCTCTTTGAAGTCATTTTGCCAAAAAATTGGCTAGGTACCCCTATATAACGGGATTATTTTTATGTGTCCGGCATTTTTCATTCTGTTAGAAAAATCATCTCTTTAGCATAAAAACTCAATTTTAAGGTATGATTAGGGACCATTTCTTATTCTGTAAGTCCATGGGAATATCAATGCGAGTGTCTGATCAACACGCTGATGGATTTTCAATTATTAAAAGTCTGTTTATATATTATTTGTATATCTCAATGTGTATATTTATACGCCCCAAGTGTGAAATTTGATATATAAAAATAAATCGCCTGTTCAAAATGGTTCCTGTGACGATTAAATATCTCATTGTATGACATTCAAGATAAAAAGACAGATTAATTTGAGAAACTTACCTACCATAAAATATAAACGGCAAGGCGTACGAATTTTTAACCGGTTGTACATTACATGTTCATGTTTATGTATAACTTCATTTTATACATACAAAATACATAACAATAAGACATTGTATCATAGTTTGGAGACCTTTCTGTTGAAAATGTGTCAGGGCTAAATCGTATACATATACATGCACAGTGCGTTAACTGGAGTGCGGGTATTAGTTACCCGCACTCCAGAGCATGCCCATTGATTGGCTCATTTTTGCTGGGGTTTACATATTGTGACGGCAGAGAAAGGGAAAGCGACAGAAATATCATATTCAGATGTTCGTTCATTGGTTCATTTTAGCCGGGGTTTCATATTGTGACAACAGGGAACGTGTTTTTATGTTTGACTATGATACAAAAGAGAAAGAACACCAAAACACTCGGTAATCTGATTAATACTCGGGGGCTACGCCCCCTCGTACAAATCAGATAGCCTCGTGTTTCGGTGCTCTTTCTATTACTTATCAGCCACCCATATTATAATGAAAATCAATTTCATTGCTACGTATTTTTATCATGAGTATAGAGCAGTGGTAACGTGAAGAACCATAAATTAAATCATCAACGTAATATATATGAATCTGAAAAGTAAATATAATAAAACAAAAATGTTCAATTATTTTGTTGTCTGTCAATATATTTTTTTCAAATCCGGTTGCAAAAATCCAAAGCCAAACATGTCATTTGGAAAAATGTAAAGAAAATATTGACTCACAAGTTAACTATAGCGTACAAGGTTAGTCATCAAGGTTAAAAAAAACAAAAAAAACAACATTTTTCTGCGTAAAAATCTCGAGGAACAAGTGTTTGCACTTATAAAGAAATTTTGTAAGCTAAAACGTAGATCTCCGTTACTGATTGGTCAGAACCTAGCAAAAAATGTAAACTGACCAACGAAAATCCTGAGTTAAGAGACTGAACGCAGAAAAATGTTGTTTTTTTAAAAATTCCTTTGCATGTAGGCTCTGGAACTATAATGCATTACTTCCACTTTGAAGAGTATCTAAATACACTAGAAATACTGTCAATACTATCACCGTGCATATCCAGTAACGCAGAAATGTTCAATTATATCGTAAAAGTAACGCCGAATCTGTGCAACGCATTGCAAAAACGTAGAACACAGTAAGTAAACGATCCAAAATAGTTTTATTCTAAATCAAATTTAAAGAAATGAATTAGCGCATACGGCTGCTACGACATTATTCTTAAACCGGCGTTACAATTTTTTTCAGAGATATGTTTGCTTTTTTATATAGACAACCTGATTACTGTTTTGAATGTGACTTTTGTGTTTCGTCAGATAAATATGTACTTTTAACACATTTCAAACATTAATTTTTTTATATTCTGTATACCGAAAACATTTGTTAAACTACAAATAGAATAACAATAAAAGGAAGCTGGTAAAATAGGATTTAGCTACTTTTAATGAGATAACCGCCGTTGCTTCAGTGCTTCATTCACGAATTCGGCGTTACCTCGTAAAATAGTCTCAATTACGTTTTATCTGCCAAATTAAGTGTAATATGACACGAGAAGATTGGGAAATGTCTCAGGTTTAGCTACTAAATTGCACAATTCTGCGTTACTTTTACACAGTTCCAGCGTTATTTGCACATTCCTGCGTTACTGGTTATACTGAGTGCTGTGGATTCAAACCCCAATGGGGGCTCAACTTTTGTTTTCATTCATTTTTATAGCACAGCAGCATGTTAATATATAGATCACATACTTTAAATATTTAGAAATCTTCTTCTCCAAAACCATAAGGCCCGGAGCTTAGATATTTTACATGAAGCATTGTCAAATTGACCTCTATGAAAGTTGTTTAGATAGTGACCCCGGGGTCAAATTTGCTCCACCCCGGGTATTATTAGTTTTATATAGTGAAATCTTTAAAAATCTTCTTCTCAAAGATCATAAGGCCCAGAGCGTAGATACTTTACATGTAGCATTGTCTAATAGAACTTTACCAAAGGTGTTCAAATCATGACCCCCAGGGTTAGATGGGCTCCTGACCTGGGGCTTATTAATACCTACTATTTAGTGTAGTTAACTGTGGTGACATAGCATTTTCAACAAATACAGTCTTGTTTTAT